TTGCCCCCTGCTGTGGGTGGGGCCACTCACGTGCCGAATGAAACCAAAGGTTCAAATACAGAAGCCAGCTCCTTGCATTTCTGTCATAACCTTATCTAACTAGTACATTAAATCACTGTAATAACTAAACTATCAAAATCTGTGCACACGAATGAAAAGTAGTTCAGTAAAATGGTCCAATAAAATCGCACATGGACTGTGGTGGCCTGTACAGGACAATGAAAGAGTAGATGATTGCTTTTGTTCCATTTAAAGAAATTATACGCAAACGATTTGAAAAATTTCCAAGGGCGTCCATTCTTATGGGAGACAAAGTGCTCTCTAAATAACTGCAGCTATGCCTCCCCCCTTTTGTTTCTCGGTTATTTCGGATTCGAATTATAACAAATTGGGTGGTGTTGCTTCTATTAGAACTGCATTTCTGTATTTAGGTCGAGCCATGTTTCAGCCCTAAGCTAAAATCAAGATCATAAGAAGTGATAAAATTAATAATTAAAAATGAATTCGTCTACATAGATCTGGACATTAAGCATAGCAAGTTTAAAATAAGTCAGAGTCGATATGTGGTGATTGATTTCTACTGGGAACAGAAATTAGATTTGCCAGAGTTGGACCGTCTAACTGCTGTTCTGTTTTGATTTCCGTTTTTTAGAATTTAAAAACATTTTTTGAGCTGGTGGCGGAAACCACACACAGTCTCAATTGGCCAAAAATGTGAAAACCATTGTTTGTTGTTCTTTAGCTCCAGATGTAGAAGTGGAGGTCAGCACAGTTCAGTGTTTGGACTGGTAATGCACTCGACCAGACGGCACAGGGCGGCGAGCAGTGTTTGCCACAGTTGTACTCACCCTGGTGCTGTGCGCAGGAGGCGGGGGAGTGCGTTGGGGTCCGAGGGGGATCAGATGTAAACAGTCACGCCCCCCCTCGCGGGAACGCTGAACAACATAGACGTATGTAATCCATCAACAGGCTGCTACCGTATCTGTTTGGGTGTAATCCGTTCTGTATTTACGGATAAGGCTTTCGTAACGTTTCAGAAAAAGGGCAAAAGTTATTCACAAAGACAAAGTTTAAAAGAGCCTGCATGTAGCCTGAAGCCAACACAGAAGCGCCCAACACGACTGTAGGAGGCTGTCACCTCTGTTTACAGTATGGATTTGGACCAGCAATAAAAAACGATAGTCCGGAGGATTGAAGGAGGTGGAACAGATCATAAAATGTTTCTTCGTGACTTTGACTGCTGAAGGTTTCATGTGTTACTTCCACATCCCCCCACGACTACCTTGGAAAGGTATTCAGGCAGGGACTGAAGCAGAGGAGGGAGAGGCATGAGCAGGGTCTGGGTACAGTAGCTCCGGGAATACAGCGAGTGACGCGTTAAGAAGCGGCGTGTCTCACGATCGGAATCTCAATAATCAGAGTGGTTCGGGAGCGAAGAGTGGCCTCGGGAGAAGGAGCTCGGTGGACGGAACAGCGGGTTCACCCGAAGGCAGGACCCGAGCTGAGCGCCGCTGAACACCATGGGGAGAGGAGGAAGCGGGGGTGCAGACTCTCACTCTACAGGCGGTACCCACGCTGTGTGCTCGGGGACGCTGGGAGCGGTGAGAGGGGCTGGCTTCTGGGGCGCTGCTGCTGACCCGGTGGAGGTGGGCGGTCGGTGTGATGGATCGCCTTACACCGTCTGAGGCTGCTGCACTGGTGGTCAAAGAAGGGGAACAGGCCAACATGGCCTGGTGGACCGCAGTTCTTTCGCCTGAGGACTGCTTCCTTTAGGAGCGTTTTCCTCGCAGTGGACTTGGATCCTCGAGCAGTAGAAGTACGTGCAGAGTCCAGGGATTTGATGAGGGGGCCGGGATGTGGTGGTGAGGGCTGCATAGACGGTTTGCCAGACTCAGGACATGGGCCCGGCGCAGCATGGGCTCTCGGAATCGCGGGCTCGTTATTCGGAAGCGGGCGTTAGGTGTAGAAACAGGAGGGTCCGGAGCTGACGGATCTCTCCCACACGAACAAGTGTCAAATAATGATGCAGCGCTCAGGACATCAGCCCGTGAGTGCTGCCCACCAGCGACTTCAAAAAGTCTTGGACACTAGAGATTGTTTCCATTCAACCTCTGCGGTGATGAGGACGAAGGACTTTCTTTTCGTAGATCTGAATGGTGGAACGGTCGCTATCACGGAGCTCCAAAGGTGAGGAGACTATATTGTGCATATATTGAGCAAATTCTTGTCACTTCCATGTGCCTCGTTAGATTGTGTTAGCCTCTGTGCTACTCGTGGGTTTCAGTCGGGAGCTAGTGCTATTTGATGAAACCCAATGAATATTAAAAAGATAAAACCACTCAGATATATTAAAAAACTGGAACAATAAACGGCTAAAAAGTGTTTAAAAGTTTACTAAAAAGGTGCAACAGAGCAGCCCTGCAGTACTGCTTACTTTGACACACCTGCGTTGATGTGTTGTGAGTGTGTTGGAGTCCTAATATGGCCACTAGTGAAAATAAGTACTGTAACTGTGATGTATTAACATCATGTAGGAACATTTTATTTTGGAACACTTCCGTGTCTCAACCGGGAAGTCCCCAGATGGAGTGGCTCGCGCAACACCGACGGAAAAACTTTACAAAGTGTATGGGACGTTTTCACACAGCTGGTCTAGCAAACGGTCATAGAAACCTGCACTATATGGCATAAAAGCAAAGACAAAGTTTAGCTACAGTTGAGATAGAAGGAACAAGGTATGGATGGATTTTTATTTTGTGTAACAATTGTAAAGTTTCTTTAAATGTGTAAAATTAATAGCAAAAGTAATGTAACGGTTAACAATGCTATTGATGCTAGATAGTATTTGGACAATGATGGTAAGGTTGATTTCGTTCTGCAGTAGTTCCAAAGTGCAAAATTATAAATGGTTGAGTCCAAACAAAGTCTTGAAGAAGCAAAATGAATTGAACAAACCAGAACACGTCCTCATCTAACTCTATTCTATTCTTAGCATGTATTCTGATTCAAGTATAAAATAATAGTTTTTTTACTGATATAGCTACACTTTTTTAAAATAAAAAGTAATATAATTTTGAATACGTAAGGTACACTACTATAAAGTCATAGTATGTAACTTTTAATAGTAATGTACAAACTTTAGTATGTAAAGTGTATGTAATGTACCTTAAAGTATTCGACCATTTATATTACTTTTTTTGGAAGATTTTAACTCTGGAAAAAGCTGTTTGGCATTTCAGTCACTAAAAATCATAAGACAAAAAATATTCGCTTTACAAATTTCATTTGTTAAGAAAAATTTCAAAATTCAATTTTCGCTTTTTAAAAATATCCAATATGTTCAATTTTTGAGCCCAAATTCCAAAGCACTGTCAAATTTTAAGAAAAAAAGAGCAGATTGGTTCATTGATTTGAAATTTTTTAATGGAACCTCTTATCAATTTCATATTTTTTTTATTTTCAAAATAAAACAGATTTGATGCATATAGTTTCAAAAGGCTTAGATTTTAAACGGTCTAAATTAGCTGCTAAAAAAGATAACATTCACATGACACATCCAGTCGTTTGGCGAGTTGTGTGCTCTGTTCAGTTAGCACATGCGCAAATGGACTTTTCCTTCTTCACTGATGTTGAATATCTCTCGTTGCTGTCTCTCCGTTACTATGGATAATTAGTTTAACATTGCTGTCCTCCGTTACTATGGATACTTTAGTTTAACATTGCTGTCTTCCGTTACTAGGGATATCTGTAGCCCTTCTAAAATGTGATTCAATTTAGGTTTTTTATCATTTACAAATGTATGAATTTATGCAAATGCAATATGTAATGTAATCAGGTTATTCACTGCCTAAAGTATTTCAATGTGTAGTACTTGTAGACGTCCAGTTGAGTTTAAAGTTGAAGCAGAACTGATGGTTTTAAATGAAGTTTATTTGTCCTTCCATATATTCATGAATAAGACGTAAGAGCTAGAACAGAACTGGAAAATTAACTTACAATCATGTCCTAATACTATTCTAGCATTCATACTACACTTGTTAAAACGTTACATTACTTTTGCTATTTAATTTTACACATTTAAAGAAACTTTACAATTGTTACACAAATTGAAAATCCATCCATACCAGTGATATTTGAGAAGTTAAATAAAGTTTATCATTGCACAGAAAGTTTAAAGAATTATTAAAACCAAGTTATTCATGCGCTCAGTTGATAATAATTAAAGATAATTAAAAATTGTATAACGGCCACGAGTCTCTGCAAAAAGTGAAAATATAGACAGTTTATCACAGTTTTGGGACTTTCTTCCTCCTGCAGACTGGAAAAATAAGCAAGGCAGATATTTTGGCTTGATTTATAAAAGTACATTTCCTCTAAAACAAGTTAATTTTCTTATTTGTCTAGAGCCACTTTATGCACTGTGGATTCTGGTGGAAGGAATTTTGGACCATTCTTCTCTGGTTATAAGAGTCATACACTGCAAAAATGATCAAATATGAGGGATTTTGCAGTGTAGTCATAAGAAGCAAAAAAACAGCCATTGTAAGAATTATAAAAGCAAAATAAGCAAAATAAATGTTTATCTGGATGCACTGATCCAGTTTTTTATACTCGATACAGAGCGACAGGCGTCACAATGTGAACCAATACTAGATAATAAATAATAGAGCTGCGGAAAAACCTAAAATCGCAGCTAAAGTGTTGCAAAATGTGTCCAATTGTTTTTTTTAATCATTATTCTGAGACTACACAACAACTTTATTGGAATAAAAGTTAAAATTTACAGTCTCTGGTTAAAACGCAACGACATTCTGGAAAAAAGCAGATAATACTGTATTAGGTCATTTCTGAGCGAACCCATGGACTAAAACCTCTACTTTTAGATGCAAGAACTTTGACACCCCCCCCCTCCCTCAGAGCCCCCTCCCCCCATCACCCCCCCTCCCTCCCTCAGAGCCCCCTCCCCATCACCCCCCCTCCCTCCCTCAGAGCCCCCTCCCTCAGAGCAGATACTCACTGAAGGAGTGCAGCCGGGACAGTCCGCAGGAGAGGTCGAAGCTGTGGCTGTAGCGGAGCAGACAGGGCGAGGCTCTGGGGGAGGCTCTGGGGGAGGCTCTGGGGGAGGCTCTGGGGGAGGCTCTGGGGGAGGCTCTGGGGGAGGCTCTGGGGGAGGCTCTGGGGGAGGCTCTGGGGGAGGCTCTGGGGGAGGCGCTGGGGGAGCGGGGCAGGGCGCTGCAAGGCATGCTGGGAGCGCGCACCAGGTTGGGCATGCTCCTGCGCAGTCTATCTGTGGAACAAGCGACAGATCAAACCATTACACCGAGGTCACGGTCTGGAAACAGCGGTAACTTTGGTTCTTGATGCTTCCAATAAAAACTAAGTGAAAATAAAAATATCAGTGTCCAATTAAAGTTTAGGTACTTAACTTTCATTAAGTTAAGTATGTAATAAAATTAGTTGCTTGCTCTAAAAACAGTTTTCCTTTAATACATTACTAATATTGGGGCAACAGTAGCTCAGTTGGTAGAGCATTGGCCTTAAGGTTGTGGGTTCAATTCCCACCTCTGCACCTTCTCCACCGACTCCCACTGATGACTGCTGTCGTTGTGTCCTTGGGCAAGACACTTAACCCCACTTTGCCCAAAGCCCCCACTGAAAGATCAAGGCTATGCTCTCACTCAGAGAGCAGCCGTCCTCCTGTGGACTCACCACCTGCAGAGGGTCAGTGAGGGGCTGGTGCTATGAGACTTGGGTGGCATCTCTGACTGCCACCCCCCTGACCCAGAAATGGATTAAAGGAAAGAACATGGATGGATGGATGGACATTACTAATATTTATTATATGTATTGTTAGTCTCAGTCAATCAGCTTTTTCAGACAAAAAAAGGAGAACCACACAGCCTCGGTCCTGGGTCTACAGCCTCGGTCCTGGGTCTACAGCCTCGGTCCTGGGTCTACAGCCTCGGTCCTGGGTCTACAGCCTCAGTCCTGGGTCTACAGCCTCAGTCCTGGGTTTACAGCCTCAGTCCTGGGTCTACAGCCTCAGTCCTGGGTCTACAGCCTCAGTATAAAGAGGTTGATCCTGCAGTAATCTCATCAGTGTCTGCTCTTCAAACGGAACAGTGGATTTAGAGCAGTACAAGCAGCTTACACACAGACACACACAGACACACACAGACACACACAGACACACACAGACACACAAAATAGTTGTTGTCAGTTGCTACCCCCGTTCACACGGAGACTGTTCCAGGTGAAAAGTGTTCAGATCCAGCCTCTTTTTATTATCATTAAATCATATTATTATCTATTTTAAGAATCCTCTTGAGCCAAAGCAAATTCCAAGTTTGTGACTTCCTGTTACAGGAAACAAAAATAAATCTGATTCTGAAAAAGTCCAATTCAGTCTTTATCTTTGTTAAGTGTGAGAGAAACCAGGGACTCTCTTTTCTGTTAAAGGTGGAAAAGCGCTCCGGGCTCTTACCTGATACGGACGCCTGCCCCCTGTAGACGAGGGGGGTGTACTGCGGCGTCTCCAGGCCCGTGGCGCTGTAGCCGTATCCATCGGAGGGGGGCGGGGGGCTGGGCGGGGCGGCGGCGGTGGGCCAGTCCCGGAGGCTGTGGAAGCTGTGCAGGGTGTGGGAGTGGGCGAGGCGGCTGAGGGGGGGCGCGGGGGGCGGCAGGAGGGCGCAGTCGTCTCCGCTCTCGTCCTCCTCGTGGCCTGAGAGGGCGCCGCTGAAGGAGCTGAGGCTGAGGCTGCGGCGAGGGCGGGGCAGGCTCAGCTCCTGTCTGAGGCCTGGGGGGGCAGGAGGGGGGAGGAAGAGGAGGGAGGGGAGAGGGGGGGGGGGGGGGGGGGCACGCATAAAGCAGGGGGCACACTTTTTTGCCAAGTTGATATATTTTTGTGTTTTTAAATATTTCTCCAAAACCCATAAACACATCTTCGTCAAAACTCTAAACTTTAAAGCTACCTTCAAATTCTTTGTAAACTAAATTAGAGTTTATATTTTGTTGTTGGTTTCATCTCTAGTAAGCCTTAGTTTTGGACTTTTCTTTTTATTATTAAAGTGTTTATTGCGATGTTACGTTCTAAAATAATCTGCAATACCAGAAATATCTGAAAGAGCAGCTGTAAGTTTTCAGTTTGTACATACATAGTTACGCATGTAACTACAGTTCTATGAATCCCAGATGACTGCCAGAGGGCGGTGCATAGCACTGAAGGGAACATTCTGAGTGCTGCTGCAGCTGTCAAAAGCTGTGCAAATACAGCTGCACAGAGGACACAGTGGGGGAGGACTGAGGTACGGGACGACCACAAACTAAGTTTTCTTTAAACAGACTTTAAATAAAGATAACATAATTTTATACTAGCGGTTTTTATGTTGTGAATAAATGTAGAGTTTACATGTGACGCTGTAAAACCTGTGGCACAGAGAGGAATCTGCGCATGGCACCGGAAATATGGCGTCACTGCAAACGCTGTGGTGCACACTGGGGGAGTCTTGCACACTTTTTCCAACCTGGTTTTACTGCAAATGCCAAATACATTCTTCTAATGTTGAATCAGTGTCACCTTTGAAGGTTAATGAAGCTGAAGTAGCGGTGGGCTCTGAGGTCTGTTATTCATGTTAGTAAACAGGAAGTAACAGAACATTAGACAAATACAGGTTTCAGTGAAATAAATAAACTTCTAAAAATAAAAAAATAAAAAACAGTTGTTTTTTTGTGTTTGTTTCAACACTTACTGTCCTCCTGCATCCGCGCCATGACCTGGACGTCTGTGAGATCCTGCAGTTTGAACCCCGCACACACAGGGTTCTCCGGGTCGACCGGAGACTGAGGACTGAACATCGCCCTCTGCAGGCTGCGACCTGCAACAACAACGACCAGAGCGTTTTAAAGAGTCATGTTCTGCTCAGAGCCGGGAAACTGACTCACTGCGTTTGGAAAGGTGTGGGAGGAACGTAGGACTGCGCTCCGCCATCGGGGACAGGTCTTGGGGCACCGGGCTCAGGGTCCGCAGGAGGTGAGGGTCCCGAGGGGAGGTCAGGGGCGCTGCGGAGAGACAGGACCTTAAAGATGTAGGAGAACCATGTCTGAAGTTTACGCTCAAAATGTAAATAAAGATTGATGGAGCAAGTGTGGATCCCTGAGGAACCCCATTTCAGATCAAAATAACAGGAATGCTAGTTTTCAGGATTTGCTTATTTTGGCCAAGAATACATTTGATCAGAATATTTAACCAGGTCCTAGAAGTAACTTTTATAATCAAACACATTTAGATGAAGATCAGAGGAGCCAGAGCTGATCCCTGCGGAAAACCAAGACCTGGAAAAGATTTGAATCAAAGTCAGTTAAGTGCTACAGTTTATGAGCCAATGGGCCTATGGGTGAAAGCCTGATCCAGTCCACTGAGGCTAAGCAGGGCAGGGCCTGGTCAGCACTGTGATGGGAGACCTGTGGGAACACCAGGTGCCACAGTGGGGCGGCTGCGGCTGCAAAGTGCCAAACTGCACCCACAGTGCTCAGAGTGGGTAGGTGTGAATGAATGAATAATGTGTTTAAATAAAACTGATGCATTTGACATGAGGATTAATAATGTATAAAAGAACGATGAGGAATGGAACTTTTCACCTTTTCATTTATTTCTTTGATTGTGATTGGTTGAATTACCGTGTCTTTGGGAGTGAGGGGTGGAACAGGGTTTGACAGAGGGGGAGGAGTCAAACATTCCACTGTGGGACGGGGACGAGCTGAGGGAGGTGCAGAGGGAGGTGCAGAGGGAGGTGCTGAGGGAGGTGCTGAGGGAGGCGCTGGACAGGGAACTGCGCCACCTAGAGACTGCACACAGAAAAACACATCCTCAGCCAAGAACAAAAGCAAAACAAAACGACAAAAATTATCCTACTTTTCTCTGGTCTCCCCCTCTGGTCTCCCCCTCTGGTCTCCCCCTCTGGTCTCCCCCTCTGGTCTCCCCCTCTCTCTCTCTCTATGGTCTCCTTTTTCTTGTCCCAAAGAAAAGACTTACAAAATTTAGACCGCAATATTTTACATTTTTCTTATTTTGGATTGTGCATCCCAGATATGAACACATGTGTCCCAGACATGAACACCTGCGTCCCAGATATGAACACACGCGTCCCAGACATGAACACATGAGTCCCAGACATGAACACATGAGTCCCAGACATGAACACATGCGTCCCAGACATGAACACACGAGTCCCAGACATGAACACATGAGTCCCAGACATGAACACATGCGTCCCAGACATGAAGACACGAGTCCCAGACATGAACACACGAGTCCCAGACATGAACACATGCGTCCCAGACATGAACACATGAGTCCCAGACATGAACACATGCGTCCCAGACATGAACACATGCGTCCCAGACATGAACACATGCGTCCCAGACATGAACACATGCGTCCCAGACATGAACACATGCGTCCCAGACATGCAGTGCTTTTCCTGCACAAAGGTGACGGCGCATTAACATCAGAATCCCACAGGGCACTAGAGGAAGTTTGTTTCAAATGTCCTCTTTTCAGATTCATTTCATTTGCAGTTAAACTACAGTGGAATAAGTTTGCAAAATTCCCAGTGAGCACCAGACCAGCGCAGCCTGTGTCAGACAGTGCAGGATTGTGTAGTGTTGTGTTGTGTAGTGTAGTGTTGTGCGTCTGATCTCATCCTCGCTGCGACTGCCACCGACCGATCTATTCACGACAGAAAGAGCGACTTCTTTGTGTTATTCTTGGCGCCAACTCAACATCACGGAGACGAAGCTCTTTCATGTGCTGCGTTTCTATGGCAACCGCTGCGGCTGAGAGGAGGTGATGCAACAGGGCGGCTGCGGCTGAGGAGAACTGAGGTCTGAGGAGGACCGAGGAGGGCCGAGGAGGGCCGAGGAGGACCGAGGAGGGCCGAGGAGGGCCGAGGAGGGCCGAGGAGGGCCGAGGAGGTCTTTGTGGGACGTGTAAATAACGTGTGGAGCAGGAAGTGGATGTTTTAGAAATGATTCAGATGGTGTGGTCATGTGGTCAGGGCGTGTGGTCATGTGGTCAGGGCGTGTGGTCAGGGCGTGTGGTCGTGTGGTCAGGGCGTGTGGTCAGGGCGTGTGGTCGTGTGGTCATGTGGTCAGGGCGCCGCTGACCCTGACCCTCACTGAGTGGACAGACAGATTAAACAGAGGCTCAGGGCAGATCTGAAATGAAGGCCATTAATCCAGATCATGAGTCTATTTTTACTTTTTCTCGTGGCGTGTTTTGTTCAGCGTGTGGCGTGGTCAGAGGTCAGAGGTCGTCTTTACCCGCTCAGACACCAGTGGACCAGATTAAATGTATACAGTAGTAATGTTAAATGTTCTGTACATTCTTATTCCATTCTTAATAATAACTATAACAACACAATAACAACAACACTATAATAACCCTATAATAACTATAATAACACCTGTCTGCACTGAGCCAGAGCCGTGTCCAGTTTGTGAGTTCATGTTACAACGGAAATAAACTAAACTCTTCTGATTGTGATTTCCTGAGTGAAAGAGGACGTGAGACAGAGACTATTCATTGCTATTCACCTGTTGTCACTTTTGTTCACTAGTTTTTTTGAGTGTCAAGAACAGATGATCCGGGACATTTAAGGACATTTATAGTTTCTGGACAGTGTCATCCTGCTTCCTGTGTTTGTGATCGGAGGAATCTACGTTTGTTCACCGAGACAAAGACCTTTTGACGTTAGAACTCTGCAGAAACCCTCATTTAACCAACTACAGTCCACAGTACAGTCACCAGAGTCACCAGTACAGTCACCAGAGTCACCAGTACAGTCACCAGAGTCACCAGTACAGTCACCAGAGTCACCAGTACAGTCACCAGAGTCACCAGTACAGTCCACAGTACAGTCACCAGAGTCACCAGTACAGTCCACAGTACAGTCACCAGAGTCACCAGTACAGTCCACAGTACAGTCACCAGAGTCACCAGTACAGTCCACAGTACAGTCACCAGAGTCACCAGTACAGTCACCAGAGTCACCAGTACAGTCCACAGTACAGTCACCAGAGTCACCAGTACAGTCCACAGTACAGTCACCAGAGTCACCAGTACAGTCACCAGAGTCACCAGTACAGTCACCAGAGTCACCAGTACAGTCCACAGTACAGTCACCAGAGTCACCAGTACAGTCACCAGTACAGTCACCAGAGTCACCAGAGGGTTTTTCACAGGAGGTCCTGCTCTGACAATGATGTTTGGCCGTGGGAAAGCACTATAAAAGGCCCATACCGCCAAATAATACTAATAATACTAATACTGATGATGATGAAGAGCACTTGCCTTGCTCCAGGCGGGAGGACAGGGACCTCCTGGTGGACTCCAGCTCTGAGTTGGGGCTGTCCAGAGTCTGTCGGCACCACTGCAGAGGAGTGATGGAGCTGAGGCCGGAGTCAGGGCTGTGCGTGATGTACAACCTGCACAAGAACAGGCACATTACACACTCTCTCACACACAACACACACACACACACACTTCTGTACCTGGATAATAATATTTGATCTGTCTTTTTAAATCTAGCTGTGACCTCCATACTAGGTGCCTTCATTATGAGAGAGCAACCGCCTCAGCAACCGCCTCAGCAACCGCCTTAGCAACCGCCTTAGCAACGTTACAGTCAGAACAAATCCCCACATGGTCTTCCGATGCCGTTGTACCACTGTGACATCACACTCAGAGTTTGTCTTCTTTAAAACAAAAGTATCGTCCGTTCATTTAATTTGGAAATGTCAGATGTAAAAATCAGATGGCCGTGTTTGCAGCCAGTGATTTTCAAACTTCCTGTGGTGGAACCAGAGGGAACAGGCGGATGGCATTTACACTTTGTACTCATTATGATCTAATAAATAAATAGTATTGTACACTTACTCTGTCATGCATGTACTGTGTATTATATAATATATATACATGAGGTCTAGTCCCCGGAGGTCTAGTCCCCGGAGGTCTAGTCCCCGGAGGTCTAGTCCCACGAGGTCTAGTCCCACGAGGTCTAGTCCCACGAGGTCTAGTCCCACGAGGTCTAGTCCCACGAGGTCTAGTCCCACGAGGTCTAGTCCCACGAGGTCTAGTCCCACGAGGTCTAGTCCCACGAGGTCTAGTCTAATAAATACATAGTATTGTACACTGTCATGCATGTACTGTGTATTATATAATATATATATATGAGGTCTAGTCCCCGGAGGTCTAGTCCCCGGAGGTCTAGTCCCCGGAGGTCTAGTCCCCGGAGGTCTAGTCCCAGGAGGTCTAAGAAGGACATTTGTGGACAGTGGTCGTCGTCTGTGTTTGTTATTATTGTATTCATTGTTCCAGTTTGATTCTCTGATCTGTTGTTGAGGAATCGAAAACTTTGTAAATCCCTCTGATTTAGGGCTAAACACAAATACAGTGTTTTATCTTCATTAAAGTACAGTCGCAATCATCAGGAGGTCATCAGGAGGTCATCAGGAGCCTTTTACAGCTGTTAAAAACAAGAATTTTGTCCGAAACGTGATCAAAATATACAACATTTGACTTCATTCAAGCATTTTTTAACTTTACAGTTTCAGAAAGAACTGATCCTGCTACTGCTGCTACTGCTGCTACTGCTGCTGCTGCTGCTGCTACTGCTGCTACTACTGCTGCTACTGCTGCTACTGCTGCTGCTACTGCTACTACTACTACTGCTACTGCTGCTACTACTGCTACTGCTTCAAAGCCTGGATCCGATTAAAGTGACAGTGGTGCTCCCATCATCTGAATTATACATTATACCTGCACACACACAGACACACACACACAGACACACACACACAGATGATGAAAGCAGAGTACAAGACCAAAGCAGCAGACAGCTCAAAATATCAACTTTAATAAATCTTTATTTATATACCGCCTTTTCACTGCACATCGGAGTCTCAAAGCGGTTTACAATTGTTATATTTGTGTGGAGGGGCCAGTACAGGAGGCACATGTCAGAACTATTGTACATATTTTTAGTGGTAGGGGAAACCGGAGTACCCGGAGGAAACCTACGCAGACACGGGGAGAACATGCAAACTCCACTCAGAAAGGCCCTGGTCCAACCGGGATTCGAACCCAGGACCTTCTTGCTGAGAGGCGAGAGTGCTATCCACTCAGCCACCGTGCCGCCCCATCCTGTGGGCCACAGATAAATCCACACAACTGTGGGAGAGTTGCGTGGCTCTGAGGTTGCGTTGCTCTGAGGTTGCGTTGCTCTGAGGTTGCGTTGCTCTGAGGTTGCGTTGCTCTGAGGTTGCGTTGCTCTGAGGTTGCGTTGCTCTGAGGTTGCGTTGCTCTGAGGTTGCGTTGCTCTGAGGTTGCGTTGCTCTGAGGTTGCGTTGCTCTGAGGTTGCGTTGCTCTGAGGTTGCGTTGCTCTGAGGTTGCGTTGCTCTGAGGTTGCGTGGCTCTGAGGTTGCGTGGCTCTGAGGTTGCGTGGCTCTGAGGTTGCGTGGCTCTGAGGTTGCGTGGCTCTGAGGTTGTGTCAGACACATGTTTATAGTCATCACTGAGACAATAATGAAATCAAGCTGTGTTGACATCCCCAACGCTGGAACGCTAAAGCCTCGTGCACCAGACGCACAAGTTTTCAGACGCACAACACTTCACACCAGAAGTCCTGACCAGCGCCGGAAGTGGCAGAAGTAGCGGGCGGACTTTGAACAGAGTTAAGCTAGCGGCTTTTTGTGTAAAGTTAATCTCCAATAATGGGTTAGGGTTAGCTCTGCAGCAGATTTCAGTTTTTAAAAACCAAATGTTTCAAGTGAAAGAACATTCTTTACCATCACAAGGCCATGTTTGCAGCCAGTAAATTTCGAATTAGGAAAAACTGAACAGATTCTATACCTCCCCCTGGTGGTAGCAAAGGGATCGAGCATGAAGCCGCTAGCACCGTTTTTCTACAAAAGATATTTCACATTCTTTAAACTTTGAGTAAATATTTTCATTGTACTTTGTGGCCAAATATAACACATAATATTTCTTATAGTAAGTAAGTAATCTTTATTTATATACCGCCTTTTCACTGCACATCGGAGTCTCAAAGCGGTTTACAATTGTTATTTTTGGGAGCGGGGCCAGTACAGGAGGCACATGCCAGAACTATTGTACATATTTTTAGTGGTAGGGGAAACCGGAGCACCCAGAGGAAACCTACGCAGACACAGGGAGAACATGCAAACTCCACTCAGAAAGGCCCTGGTCCGACCGGGATATGCAGAGAGCTACTTTCCTGAGACGATAAAGGCAGAGAGCTACTTTCCTGAGACGATAAAGGCAGAGAGCTACTTTCCTGAGACGATAAAGGCAGAGAGCTACTTTCCTGAGACGATAAAGGCAGAGAGCTACTTTCCTGAGACGATAAAGGCAGAGAGCTACTTTCCTGAGACGATAAAGGCAGAGAGCTACTTTCCTGAGACGATAAAGGCAGAGAGCTACTTTCCTGAGACGATAAAGGCAGAGAGCTACTCCTTAAGCAGTCCTGAGAATAATGTGGTGATATTGGGTCAATATTTACCATTAGGGGTGGGAACCTAAGGGTACCTCACGATACGATACGATACGATACAAAGCTCACGATAACGATAATATCACGATGACGATTTTATCACGATATGACGATTATTGATATATTGGTCAGAAATATACAATATGCCAATTTATGGCATAAATAAAAGAAAAATTACTCTTTATTTCATGATAAATAGAATGGAGATGCGTAATGTAGCCATATATTAAGTATTGCTACCAATAAAAAATAAAAACAAATAAAAAATCGATATTGATACTTGGCAAATGCGTATCGATAATCGAATCGCGGGAGAAAGAATCGTCACACCCCTATTTACCATTGCGTGTGTTTTCAGTTCTACAAAGTCAGTTTTACAATAAATAATAATAATAAGTTTGTGTAAGCCCTCAGGAATTCATTCCCTGAAGAAGTCCTTTGGATTGAGGACGAAACGTCGGGAAAACTTGCAGAAGTACAGATGATGGTGAGAAACCTTCCTTTGCTTTGATAAATAATAATAATGAAAAACACAATCTGAAATATTAAGTACATTATTAATTTTGTTCCTTTCTACATTTCTTGGCGAGCTACCTGGAAGGGGTGGAGAGCTACTGATGGCTCACAAGCTACAGACTGGAAACCTCCGGTCTTCATGAATAAGATCCAAACATCCCCCAATTTTCTTTCACTTTATCCATTGCCAGGTTGTGTGGGCAGCCGCCTGAGCAGGGACCAGACCTCAGTCTACAGCTGCATCATTAATGCTTTGGAGCTTTACAATTTGGTCAATAAAACAATATATTATTCAAATATAGACTAAAAGTTCTAGTCTGGGGCTGTTGGAATTATCACTGTTGTCCTGACTCCACTGCAAGAGATTTATATCATATTTGTAATTAACTATGGATCAATGCAGAACTTTAAATATATATACACACAAGATCACAAACAGAAATGGATAGAGATGGACAGAGAAATATAGAAAGCATAGAATTAGAGTCTTAAGGAGACAAAGAGACTGAGAAAGTGCAGATTCCTCCTGACAAAGACAAGTTACCACGTCTCCTGCGAGTCTCCCTGCGACGCACACATAGAATCCAAATCCAGGGGCTCCAAATCATCCAGAGCCGCCTCTTCCTCCTCTTCCTCCTCTTCTTCCTCACCGTGGCTCGGCTCTAAGTACTCCCGAGAGCGTCTGCATTGTGTCTGTGCCGGCTGCGCTCTGGTGCGTAACTGTTCGTTTTGCCATTCCAGTTTCCTCACCAGCGCCTGCAGCTTCTTCACCTCCAGCTCCGCGTCCAGGGCGTTGCTGTTGCAGTCCACCGCCTCCACCGCCTCCACCCGGGCCAGGCTGGAGACCACGGCCGCCTCCATCGTCCCCGTGTGCGTAAAAACGGAGCTTGCTGCGCGTAAAAGATGCCAGAGGAGTGTGTTCTGGGGCAGGTGGGACGTGTGCGCGGTCCTCTGCTGTAGCTGTAGTAGCGTGAGCAGGTCTGGCCCCCCGTGGTTTATAGGCCACTCCTCCCGCTGCTCACGCCCACTCAGGTCCATCCTCGGGTCCAAGTCGCATCCGCCTCCACCAAAAGCTCCACGCGTTATCCCCGGTTTGGCGTCGGTGAGATCGGGGTGCGCAGTCGCCATCTGCTGTTTACACTGAATACGGCAGATTAAAGCTGGGGTACCGTGGGATGCAACTCCCTGAAGCAGCAGAAAAGAAACTAAATTATGATCCTTTTATAATATTTTAAGAGAGATTAGAATACTCTCTGTGTAAGTGTACACAAACATACTCTGTCATAGTCGGACTAGTGGCTGTAATTAGATCACAGCATACTTTCAATATAATGAGTTAGTAATTCTGTTAAGTTACAATCAAGATATGTTTTTGATCACTTAATTACTTTCAGACCTGTCTCGGGGAGTTTAAACCAGTGTCTGCCAAACTTTCTGAGCCTTTTTCCATTGAAACAAATCAACACCGTCATTAAAACCTCATCAAAGTGAATCAAGAGAATCAAATCTATTCTATTCATATTATTTGTACCAATCGGCTGATATTGGGTCATTTCTAAACAACATCTCAACATCTTTTATGTCTGGAGCTAAACAGACAGAAAAGGAGAGTACCACCCTCTTTCAGCCAATCAGCTCTCAGTGTGGACAATGTTTTAACAAAGACAGAATGTTGTGTCTGATTCAAACAAAACTCTTTCTGTTGGAGTGAAACAATAAACTGTGCTCTAACTATCAGGAGTATGAGTTATAGAGGTATTGTTTTATTGTCAATCATTTACGGAGAGGGAGCTGGCGCATGCGCAGAACAAGCCCCCTGTTCTGCATCCCAGCTAAAGGCTAAAGCTAACCCCAGCTGAGAGCGTAAACAAAACCACGCTCTACACATAAAAACACACAAACACAATCAGACACACAAACATAATCAGACACACACACAGACACACAATCATGTCCAAACGCCACACTCTGAGAGCCGCGGTGACTGCGCGTCTCTCTGCGGCGGCTCTGGACGTCTGTGGAGCTGCTGGACTCTCTCCTGAGGCCGGGGGTCAGGCTGGGCTGGACGGCATCACCCCAGGACCAGGACCAGCACCAGGACCAGCACCAGGACCAGCACCAGGACCAGCCCCAGGACCAGCACCAGGACCAGCCCCAGGACCAGCACCAGGACCAGCACCAGGACCAGCACCAGGACCAGCACCAGGACCAGCCCCAGGACCAGCCCCAGGACCAGCCCCAGGACCAGCCCCAGGACCAGCACCAGGACCAGCACCAGGACCAGCCCCAGGACCAGCACCAGCACCAGGACCAGAGAGACGTGTGGGACAGACCAAGCTTCCACATGTTTATGGTCATGTTTTCATCATTATTTCATGACTAAGTGTTTGTTCTTCCAGATTCTTCTCTGAGA